CACAGTAAATTGTTTCACGAACAATAGAAGCATAGTTAGAATTACAACATTTTTAAAGGCAAGGGAAGAGCATGATATTTACAGAGACTGTACTAGCTTCAGATGACCCTATCACAAATATGCACCTGGCGACAGTGGGAAGGAAAAACTCATTTTTACACCCTTTTGCTGTGTTCCCCAAGCTGTTCTGAGCAATTATTGCAGTTTGGTGCGGCGCACTGTCCTCCAAAGGGAGGCCGCTGCCATCAGTGAGTGCCATTACTATAGTGGGCTGTGTGTGGATGACGTTACAGTGCACATTACTGTAATGAGATGATCAATCTTATTCAATTCACCTGTCAGTGGTTTTAATTTTGTGGCCGTCCAGTGTACACTCACTGGTTATAGTAGATTGCACAGCTCACTCCTATGCTCTTGTGATAGTCAGTGGGAAAATCAATCACTGGCTGTCCTGTGTGGCTGGTGACTGTGCATTCTCAGGGAAAAACTGATGAAAGAAACAAGGAAGATGAGGAAAAGACAAGGGTGCTTATTAGCTAATCCACCCCAAGAGGAATGAAATCTCCCACTTCCTCCATGTTCACATCTTCTGTGCTCTTCAGTATTTGTAGAAAAGTGACACTGGTACAGTAAGCTATGTGTAAGACTGTCTCTAAATCTTTATCTCTCTTTCCTCCCCCAAGGAAGGATCCATTCCCCAAGATGTGACAGTAAAAGTGAGAAAGTGAACTGAACTCTGGCACTTACTCTTTGTGTACCATACGGGAGCGACACCCTCCAAGTGTTTATCTAAGTGGACAGCTTAGTCAGGATTAGCTGGACTAACGGCAAACATCTTTAGAGGCAGAGAGGTCACCTTGTCTGTGCATGGATGCGCATGTTTCAGGAGTACAGTGTCCATATGTTGTAAATCCTTCCCTCAGGAACACACAAAAAAAAAACATTAAGGATGCCTGAAGTGCCTTAATGCATGTATGCACCAGAATGAAGAAAATACTCACCCCAGAAAAGACTCATGCACAACTGGGGGTCTAACAACATGAGGCAGCTCTTCCAAAGGAATTACATGGTCAGCGTGTGTCAGCGGAAAAAACAAACAAAAACAAAAAAACATATACAGTATTTACACCAGTTCTCATTGGATCAAATAACCTTAAAAAGGTTCTGAAGAAGTATTTCAATGCATGCACATCAGAGGGGTCCCAAGAAAAGGTGGGATGAGGTACTGTAGAAACAGAAGCAAAAGAAAGAGGGAGGGAGCAAGGGCAGTACAGTAACACTAAGTCCTCTCCTCACTAACCTACCACCAACTTCATCACCCGCAGGAATAACAGTTGGGCACGGACAAAAGCCTTGCGGCTAAAGACACTCAGATAGCACACAGAGAAAAACTTTTGTAAAGCGCAACGCATGGGGAGGAGAACTCTATAACACTTTCTAACATCCCGAATGACAATGCCACATGTCAGCCTACAAGAAGAATCACTGCTTTCAGCTTAGTTGCATATGAATTGACTCGAAAGAGAAGCCCTGCAATCCATCAGGGGTTAAATAGTTCAAACAGGATGGGTGGATATAAATAGATGGATTGATAGATAGGTACCAGAAGACTCAGATATAATGTATACAGTAGATTCTCATAGGTTGCTTTGTGAGTTGCTGGGGGTTATGTGAGGTGTGTGTTTGTAAGAGTGTGTGTCAGCAAATATGTTGCCCCATGGGACCACAGTGGAACCTCACACCAGCCCCCACAGGGAAGGATAAGGCCATCTGCCCACCCTACACACCAATCCCACCTAGAGGATACACACTCTCAGGAGCAATATGGAGGGGCTTTGCAGACAGTGTTTGATCTGCTTTCATCCAGCCAGCAGCATGCAGGATGCTGATCCTCTCTGTATGTCTACTCCTCTACTGTCCACTGTCCCAGTGGAAATCACTGGCCGAAGAAAACATCTTCAACCGGAGGCATGAATGGCAGGACACAAGCTGATCAGCTTCATCTCTCAGCTGAGGGAACAGGGGGTGGCATAGCTCAGTAGGTCCTTTCAAACTAAAATGACTTAAGTCTAATATTTCTTTGAAAGAAAGGGTCACACAGAGAATACCTTCTCTGAAAGGATGAACTAAATGTCAGAAAGCTGGGATTAAAAATGCAACAAAGTAGATTTAAAAGACTGAATTAACACATGCAAAAATCAAAAACAACTGCAGAGTCAGTGCCTACATGCAATTGAACAACATGAAACTAATAAAATTAATTAAAATTAAATTAAATGAAAGATGCATTACAGTCATTCGAAGTACAAGTGAAACAACAGATGATTGAGAAATAAACAAATCACTGAGAGAGGACCAGAATCTTTCCTCTGATTCTTCTTCGGACTCTCTGGACATGGTGATAAAGAACCTACTTTCAGCTGCTCCCTTATTCACAGGGGGTCTCCACAGCAGGAAGCTGTACATGCTTGGTTTGGCTGAGTTTTTACACCAGACACCCTCCCTGACACGAATCCCTCTGGGTTTGAGCTTTCTCCCAGGACTGAACCAGGGATCTTTTGTTAGTTAATCAAATGGTCAAAACACTACACCACAGAGCCGCTACGGTGACAAAGAGGAGAACTCTGTCTAAAGTGAGAACCATGATGAACAATGGATCACATCTCACTCGTGAAATACTAGTCGTCAGAGGTTACATTCAATTATTTATCTCGATTAATAATCTGGCAGATGGCTGCCCCTCCCTGACTGGTGTAGACGTTTCTTTCTGTTAAAAGGGAGTTTTTCCTTCCCACTCTCACCAAGTGCTTGCTCATGAGGGGGTCGTCAGAATGTTGGGGTTTTCTCTGTATTATTGCAGTGTCTTTACCTTACAATATAAAGCCCCTTGAACCTGTGACATGTGATTTAGCTCTATAGAAATAAAACTGAACTGTATATTGGCTAAGAGAGTTCAGGCAAGAGGTGGTACAGGAAGTCACCCTTGTCAGCTTTTTCTTTTGTGTATATTTTGTGCATAAATTGCATATTTTGACCGAAATGCAAAAGACAATCAGGTAAATGCTGGATGAAGGGGGCAGTAGCAATCAAAACTAAACTTTGACCATTTGTAAAGAACAAGAAGAAACATGTTTTAAAGTTCTCATGTATCTTTTTCATCAGTGAGTTGCTGTGTGGTTTGACGCAGGCTCAGGCACAGATGGACGCAAAGCTGCTGTGGTTGTATTTTACGAGTCCACTCAGCTGAAGACCTGAGGCCTGTCTGGAGCAACGGCTAGCCTCAACATCAGACTACAGCACACACAAACACACATACACACTGACAGCTATTAGGCAATCGATAGAAGCTAATACATCAGAGCATTTGACTACTCAGCTCTGTATGAGAGAAGAGAAGAGAAGAGCTAATCATGAGTGTAAATGCATGATTAGCTCAATATTTGAATCATACCACTGAATGTTGCACTCTTACGGGACGCATTTGAGTGTTACAGAGTATCAAAGTATTGAAACTGCTTTGTGGAATGTTATGCTCTATTGCTTCAACCTCAGAGGGAATTAACTGCCATAAAAACTTCACTCCTCCAATCATTAATATCACATTAATACAGAGATGAAGCCGATGGATTGCCCTTTAGAGGGCCCTGTTAGCTTGCCAGGAGGTTAAGTGTGAAATCAATCCACATAAACAACCTAAATAAAAATTCTTCCACGCTTTAGCGCTGAGTTCTAAATCAGCCAATCACAGAGGCGCTAGTAAAACCAGTCTTTTAGCACAGCATGCTAACAATCTCAGTATTTCAGCTCTGGCAGCTCATTCTCGCTTTTCTCCTTCTGTCTTTCTTTTTGTCTTTGTTTCTTGTCCCGTCCTTCTCCTCCACCCCTTTTGCTCCTGGAAGACCACAAAGGGGAGTATCTTGTCTTTTCACAGTGGGCCCATTCATGGTGGCTTGAGGGGTTGTATACGTGGGAGGGGCTAGTCCATTGAAGGTTGATCTAGACTTGCTCAAGCATCCATATTTTGGCTATTTGAAGAGAGAGGGAGGCTGTTAAACACTGAGTAAGGAGGTGACCCCTGACCCTGACGACTGCTGTCCATCCATTATAGAAAATAAACAGAGAGGCTGGAGTGATTGCTAATCTCTTTACTGCTCTTATCTCTGCAGACAACCCAGGAGGAAGTCTAATTTTCAGTCTTTAATTGCTCTGAGCTGATGGCAACTTTGAATGTCTAATTTGAATTTGTTTTACTGGCACTTGTAAAATGTCGTGCTTCGTGATGTGTTTTCGCTCATTTTCTTCAGTGTCTTGCTTCATAGTTTTCCTCTTCTACGTTCTACTTGAACCTACCTTTGCTGTGTGATTGATATTACTCCTCCAAACAGTTTGAAGGATGGCAGCCAAGAGGTTAAAGGTGACATAACAGGGCACAGAGACAAAGACTGGACACTGTGTCATCTGTCAGACCTCATGCTGTTGCCACCACCACACTACCAATTGGGGCTTTCCTTAAATTAACCCTAAGACACAGACACACACACACTTTTCTCTATCTATCCGATCTCAGGGGAACACATGTGGGACAGTTTGTGCCAGCATGAGGGCAGATGTCAGTCATGGCGACTGCCTTTGTGTGTGGAGAAATGACCCTTACTGCTTCATTTCATTGTCATTCATTTGGTCCTGTGGGGTTTGTTCATTTTTACTGTGAGCATGACGCATCCAATTCATCACGTGGCTTAAAAAAAAAAAAAGCTCGGCAGACTGTAAATGCATATGGAGTGACATGTGCCTGACTGGATGGATGCATGTCTGGAATTGGGAATGGAGATTGCATTAGGCATGTTGAGATGCAGTTATGTTAATTTACATAAAATAAAACTCTTGCTTCTTGGTTGTAATGGTAAATAACAACTGTTTAAAGGTTTTATTCATCATGAAAACATAAAAAACAAAAACCCCTTTAAGACTATTAACAAGCCAGAGTGCACAGTGTGGGCAATGTTAATTTATTTTATTCGTTTTAGAAATACATTTTCTACATTCGGAAATAAACAAGAGCAAAAACACTCTTGTTGCATGCGCTGATTTTTGTTTTTTAGGTTAACCATGAAAAAGTGGACGCTCAAAGTGAACAAACGACGACTCTTGTAGTTGCTTTCTGGCAGCTTAACATTACAGTAAAAAACATTATCATACATTATAAATTAGGAGGGGGGGGGGTACATTTATACACAAATCGACTCAAATCTACAGCGATAAAATAGGTTTGCTTTTGAAGCGGTAGATGACGCAAGGAAATAATAATAATAATAATAATAATAATAATAATAACAATAATAGGCATTACAATGCATCAAAACTGTCCCGCACAACAATAGTAGAGAAGCTTTAAGCCACATGACAATACACAACATGTTCATATATAAACAGACGCGGACACAGTTGCCCAGCAGCTCAAATTATCCAGTTATTATCTACCTATTTAAATAGGCCTGTACAACAAATTTACCTTCATGTTTCACAGTCTCACCACAAACACTGCGTAAAGATTCTTCGCTGTGTTTGTGCTGTCTCAAATCATCTAGAATATATCACAGGATCAGTCATGTTTACAGAAGAAAGTGGAGTCTAGTTCCAGGGCCGATATTCTGGATTTAAAACTGTTAAGCCGCTGTAAGGAAAGTTTTGTCCGCTATTCTTCTGATGGTCCTTCAGCGGAAACAGGGACTCCTCCTGCAATCCTCTCTCCGGAGAAGACGGGAGAATGGTGCTGTCCAAGATTTGCCTTTCTGCGGGGAAGAAAAATACCAGAAAATATGTAGTTTAAAAAAAAAAAGTATGCAACATTTTAGTTTGGCAGTTTGCAGTAGTTTTTTTTAAGGGCATTGCCAATGACAGCAGTCTGTAGCAAAGCTAATTAATATTTCAACTGTCTTAGTTTAATTTTATTATGGAATATTATTATTATTATTATTATTATTAATAATAATAATAATAATAATAATAATAATAATAATAATAGTACTGAACTTCTATTCCTCTTAATATTCGATTGCTTCAATTGCTTTACTGTAATGAAGCTTTAAACAGCACCCATAAAAACGTCTGAACCCATAAAATAAACACCTGATGCCATGCTGTTAGCCTAAAACACTTCCCATGCGGGTATTTTAAATCGAGCGCTTACTTTTGTGGCTTTTCATGTGGTATTTAAGCTCCTGCTCTTCTTGGAAAGACACTCCGCACAGCTCGCATGGATACGGCTTGTCTCTGGCGTGCGTCCGACGGACGTGGCTGTCGTGGGCGGCGTGGGAGGCGAAGGCCTTCCCGCAGTGCTTGCACTTGAAGGGCCTCTCACCGGAGTGCTGTCGGATGTGTGTGCGCAGAATGCTGGAGGCAGTGAAGGCCTGGGAGAGTGGAGTTTAAAACACTGGGTAAGCGTAAATAAGCGCAATTTCAGTTGTCAAGTTAAAGGCAAGATAAACGTTGTTTATTTTTTTTATAAGCTAACAGTTACCTTTTTCACAGGAGCCATTAAAAAAATATTTTTCAGAAAAAGTTTTTATTTTTTATTTTTTT